GAGCAACAGGAAGTGCCAGCGGTTCTGCTCCTTCCTAAACCACTGCCCAGGCTCCATCGTGGACACCTTTCATGGACGAGTCACCTGCTGTATGCGTTCCCGCCCTTTCCTCTCATACACAAAGTCCTTCTCAAGGTTCGCTGGGACGGGGCTTCCTTGATCCTCATGGCACCAGCGTGGCCCCGCCAGCACTGGTTCACCATGTTGATGAACTTCTCAGTCGACAGACCAGTAGCTCTTCCCATGTGCCCGACCCTCATCACACAGGACCACAACCACCTACAACACCCCAATCTGGAGTCCCTCCACCTGATGGCGTGGAAACTCCATGGCTGAACCCTCTTGAGCTTCAGTGTTTGGACCCAGTGAGGGAGGTCCTGCTGGGAAGTAGGAAACCCTCCGCTCATGCCACGTACCTGGCAAAGTGGAAGCGTTTTTCCATCTGGTCTCTGCAGAGGGGAACCGAACCGCAACTAGTGCCAATTCCCTTGTTTTGGACTACCTGTTATATCTCCAGCAGCAGGGGTTGGCAATATCATCTCTCAGGGTACACCTGGCTGCTATTTCGGCCTTCCACCCGGGGGGCAGTGGGTAGGTCAGTCTTCAGTAATCCCATGGTGGCTGGTTTCTCAAGGGCTGGGACAGACTTTATCCCCAGGTATGACAGCCCATTCCCCAGTGGGTCCTCAACCTGGTCCTGTCTGCATTCATGGGGCCCCCTTTTGAGCCCATGTCAACCTGCCATCTGTCCTACCTTTCCTGGAAGGTGGCCTTTCTCGTGGCCATAACCACGGCTAGAAGGATATCTAAGCTCAGAGCACTGATTTCTGAGCCCCCCTATACGGTCTTTTATAAAGACAAGGTGCAGCTACACCCCCACCCTACGTTTCTGCCAAAGGCAGTCTCCCAGTTTCATATGAACCAAGACACATTTTTACCTGTGTTCTTCCCTAAGCCCCATGCCAGTAACAGAGAACGCATGTTCCATTCCCTGGACGTTAGGCATGCCCTAGCATTCTACATTAAGTGCACAAAGCCATTTCGTAAGTCACCGCTGCTCTTTATTGCAATCGCAGAAAGGATGAGGGGGCTCCCGATCTTGTCCCAGCGCATTTCATCATGGATCACGTCCTATATCAGGACTTGCTATGACCTGGCAAAACTTCCAGCCCCTCCGCTTACGGCACACTCCATGAGGTAGCACTCCATGACGCAGGTGTTGTCCGCAGCGTTCCTGGTGCAGGTCCCTATCCAGGACATATACAAGGCAACAACATGGTCTTCCATCCACACCTTCACGTCACACTACACCATTACCCAGCAGGTGAGGGGCGATGCAGCAGTCCTGCACTCAGCAACCAGGTGAACTCCGACCCCTCCCCCCAAGGGAAACTGCTTGGGAGTCACCTATTGGAATGCACATGAGCAATCACTCGAAGAAAAAACGGTTACCTACCTCTCGTAACTGTTGTTCTTTGAGATGTGTTGCTCATGTCCATTCTAAATCCCTCCCCTCTGTTGGAGTATTCCAGCAAGAAGGAACTGAGCAGGCGGCAGGTCGGCAGGGACCTATATACGCTGCCATAAAGGTGCCACTCCAGGGGTCTCCACCGCCGACCCTGACGGGTACCGCTAGGGGAAAAACCTTCCGACGATTGTGTACATGGCACGCGCACACCTATTGGAATGGACATGAGCAACACATCTCGAAGAATCACAGTTACGAGAGGTAGGTAACTGTTTTTTCTAATAGAGCACTGAATCCAAATGAGCTTTGTCAGAAGAGCAAAGGTTCCAAAGGGGTGTCGGTTCTGCAGGCCTGAGTAGCTGTAATCACTATGTTTAAGTCTAAAAGAGAGAGCACGAATGAAAGGCCATGCTGAGCCACCTTGGCTTCTCTGCCATTTGGCAGGATGCTTAGGAGATCTGAACCACTCCTTGCATTTTTAATACAAAAAGGAAAGGCTAAAGAAAGCGCAGGCATGTCTAGTAACTCAGCTGAAAAACTGAAGCTGGCAAACTGGACAACAGTGGTCTCTTGTCCTGTTGATGAATCGAGTCATGTGTTTTAGAGTAATGTCACGGTCCGAAAAGTGACCATGAAAATGGCACATTGGTAATATGCATATTTGATTCCCAGGTATCTTCTAAACATCATCTGCTCAGTTTGCTGAATGGAAACAAGTTTTTCCTGCTGTCTGTGCTTGAGCCCATCTACAGCGTCCATGGAGCAGGGAGCTTGCAGGCCGCTCTGCCTCCCGTTGTCCCAGAATGGCCAGCTCGGTTCTGACTCCAGATCTTTGTTGCTGATGCTGCTGTCTGAAGCAAGGAAGAATGCAGCTGGCTCTTTCTTGTGCTGATCACAGCCATGCTGGCAGTCAGTGAAATTGTGTTCTCACTTGAAATCTTGGAATGAAGTGTTTTTATTGTGTTTGCAAAGTGCTCCTGGCTTGCAAGGCCACACCTCTTGTACTCTGTTATGGAAGCGATGATGGCTGATGAAAATAAGCTGCGTATGCAGGAGATGAAGATCACAGGCAACTCTTTGACTGCAGATGTTGCGATGCTGAAGCTCTTGGGCTGATAAATCCATGTAACATAGTTAGATATTTTGCTTACTCTGAAGAACTCCATGTGGAAGCAAACACATGTTACTCCCCAAATGGTAACGCGGACCAAGGTCCGTTTCAGTAGCAGCTCAAACATCAGAGAAGAAGAAGAGTTTCAAAGGTTTAGGAGAAAGAAAGGCTGATCTCCTAGTATGGGCTCCAAAGGTAGAGAATCTCCCAACTGGCAGACGGACGTAGGAGCCGTTTCAACAGGACTTAGCAGCAGATGAGAGAGCTGCTCTATGTTCTGGAAATACCGCTACCTTGATTAGACAATCCCAGTCCCAGGATAGGGTAGCCGGGTGCTCTAGACGAATGAGATGCTTATTCTGAGACTGACTGAAGAGAATGCTTTGCCCTCTGTGTACAGGAATGTGAAGCAGCATCAGCTTCAACTGAGCTGCTTGCAGCTCATAAGAGAAACGGAAGGAAAACTCCTGGTTCCTTAGCGGAAGAAATGCTGTTCAATACTGGCCATTGCCTGGAGAAGAGACTGCTGTGGTCTCACTGGGTAGTTCCACACATCGGTGCTGCTCTGGGATGCAGCATTAGAACCTGTTAAAGGGCAAACCAGTAACTGTGTGAATCCTAAACCAGAAGCACCTGCCCCATCCCAGAGCCAGGTACGCAGGCAAAGATTTTCAAATCAGGGGTCTAAAGTTTTGGTTCCTTCCATTTATACTAAAAGACCTGACAACGTGGGCTGATTTTTTTTTTTCTTCCCCAAAGCATGGAGCACCCAATAACTACCATGGACTTCAATGGGAGCCACTGGGCACCAGCACTCTTGAAATACAGGCTACTTAGGTCCATCAATGGCTATTAGCCAGGCTGGGCAGGGATGGTGTCTCTAGCCTCAGTTTGCCAGAAGCTGGGAATGGGCGACAGGGGATGGATCACTTGATGATTCTCTGTTCTGTTCATTTCCTCTGGCATTGGCCACTGTCGGAAGACAGGATACTGGGCTGGATGGATCATTGGTGTGACCCAGTCTGGCCGTTCTTATGTTCTGTATGGACGTAGGAGCCGAACTTTGTTTGAAAGTCTGGGCCATGTGAATCTAGGCCAGCTGCGCGCACATGTTCAGCGTGAGGGCTGAACACATTACTTTGCAAAGGTCAAGGGGCCACAATCTATACTGAACTAAAGGAGGAGCCAGGCTCAACCACATAACAAATGGAACATCAGCCAGGTCAGCCTCTGGAACAAGCACCTGGCAGTAAGAGAACAATACATGTACCTATCTTTGGTCATTATGAAGATTGACTGGGCTCCCGTGGCAAATGTTAGAAATACAAGACAGGAACAGGTAGGCTACATCATGGCTCTGTTTGCTATGAAAGGGACACAGTAGCCAGGCAGGCATGTCTCCCTGAAAGGTGTCATGCAGCAGTCAGAGTTCCCAGTGGGAAAATGTCTGGGTTTTGACAGACCCGATACATTCACAAAATGTGTAGTGGCGATATTGTGTGTAATAAATTGCATTGACTGCTTCCCCTACATATTGACCACGAACGCTGCTGCTACTAAAATTCCAAACCTCTCAGCAGCTCAAATGGCCAAACCACCTGCTGGAGAAACTCTCCTTCACCTCCCAGAATGTAGAATTTACTCTCCAAACATAGGATGGCCTGAGGCCTAGCCTGCAAAGAGAGAGTGCTTGGCCCGGTGACAGGTCTGCAGGTTGATTGTCTCATGACACTTGACTAGAAATACATTCTGTTAACAGTATATTCTAACAGATGGGCAATTGGAAAAGGAAGATTTCCAGGGGGATACACAGCACTGATTTTTAGTTGTGGTAGGTCCCAAGATTTCCATATTTTAGGTAATTTTTAGAAGTTTCTAGACTGTATTCCTCTTCTTCCTTTGATGATCTGTACTGTTTCACTCGGCACCAAGGCAATCAGCCTGTTTGCATGGAGGGATATGAAAAATACAGTAGGACCAATACATTTTTTCCCCAAAAAAATCTCTCAAGCAGTTTTTCTGTCCAAGTTGTGACACACACAGAATACGTCACTGTGGGCTGAAGGTTCTGTTAGTAGTAGTTTTGGGGCGAGCTGCATAATTCATGAGTGACAAGCAAATTTGTCATTTAGGGCTTTTCATGACACAGGGCTGCAGAGTACAAGCTTGGATTAAAATGCAATCTGTCACCATTGTGAGTTTACCTCCTTCCCTCTTGTGCACACAACAGAATTGGAGGAAACCTGTTTTTTTTATCGGTTGCATCAAAGAATGATTCTGAAAGAGTCCCTATCCCTCTTTCTTACATAGCTGAATCAGTGCCCCCGCCCTGTGTGACTCCAGTACACCTAGCTTTACTGGGGACTCCCCGGCCTTTGCCACTAGCAGTATAGTAACGTTTGATCTGATGGTTCTTTTCAGGATCACATGGTGAAGGAAGAAACTAGAAGTCTCACTCCAAAGCAGTGTGCGGTTCTGGACCTGGCCCTGGATACTATCAAAGTGAGTGACTCCCCGGACGCTGTTCTGGAATGGATCGTGCGTGGCACGTATCTTAGTGAATGATCAGCAATAAGGCACCAGAGTGACTCAGGGCTACCAAGTGTGTGGCATAAACCCACTTCTGAAGAGGTGCCCAGTTAAACACCTACATGGCACTCAGGTCAATAGTACTGTGGAGCCAGCATATTAAGGGGCCTGTGTGATTGTAGAGTCAGGATCTGACACACGGGTGGGGGAGCTGTCGGGGTGAACAATCAGCCACTGCTGCAAAAAATGCTTCACGAAGGTTTCAGCTCCCTCTGCTCTCGGAGGGGCTGCCAGCAGCTTGTCTGTTGCTGGTGGCAGTTTTCCTTTTATGTTGCTGCTTTTACTCTTTGCTCTTAGCAATATTTCCATGCTGGTGGGAACGGTCTAAAGAAAACCTTCTTGGAGAAGAGTCCAGACCTGCAGTCGCTCCGCTATGCGCTGTCCCTCTACACTCAGACCACAGACACGCTCATCAAAACCTTTGTCCAGACACAGACAGCTCAGGGTAAGGCTCTTTTCTGTCATCAGGAGGGTTGACTAAAGCTCTCCAGTGTGGTGTTAATTGCCATGGCTTGCACTGCTGGTTTGCAGCGGCTTTGGCAGTCACGCTCCTGGAAACATGACAGTTTCAGAGCTGCTATTTGCTGGGGTTTTCCTGCTCAACATTTACATCTTGAGGGAACAGAAATATGTGCCAATTTAACTCCTGGAGGTTTTCTTTCCTGATGCTAATTTCACAGCCAAGCTCCTGGTGCTAATATTGGTAAGTGATTTGGGGGAAGTGAAATTTGGCGTTATTGTACTGGGAGTTGTATTGTTTTGTGGAAGGTGATTCCAAGCAGGTATCAACCCAGAAGCGGACCACACGTAGGTCATAGGCCACTCACCAGCAGCCCAGGCAGTTCTGACTAATCCTGGTTGATAGCAATGCTGAGAGTCACAAGGAGGAGGACACTTCATTACAATGAAGCTGAAGGTCTTGCTTTGTGCCCAGCCAGTATAGGATATACGCTACCTAGATTATTACGTATCTTTATTGCTGGAGGGAAAGACACAGCAGTAGCACAAGTTATATACTACGCTGCTGTGATGGCCCACTGGGAGTTCTGTGGAAGCCAGGGTAACACTGCCACATTGTCACCCAGTACTAATGTGGCTAATGATTTGTTGCTGTGGATCTCTCAGCTGTTCAGAAGCAGTGGTCTCCTCGTTTCTGCACAGAATAGTATCAGTCCATAGCCAGAGGACGTTCATTGGCCACCTGTGTGGTTTTGTGGTTCTTGCTCATCTCTGGAGAAGGACATGGAAAACCAGTGAAACTAACACTAGGCTAAGGTAATATCTTAAGGTTATAGTCTAAGATTTCAGGTTATATTCTGATTTAAATGCAGTCTGTGGGGTGGGACCTCCCATTCCAATGTTGCTGTTGAAAGAAAGTGATGGCTAAAGCCGTGAGAGTCAGACCTGTCTGGGATCTCCATACAGTTCCCTCTCTGCAAGCTGTTCCAAAGAACAAACAATGCAAGCAACTCTGGGGGGTCCCATGCAGTCTCACCACTTATAGTCCAGTTTCTCCCCACCTCCACCAGTCCTCCAGCAGCCTGGGGTCCCACAAATCATAACATCTGTGCTCTCCTGCTGCCTGACTCTGCCAGCATGACTCTGCTACCAAGCATGGGATTGGAATGGAGAAGTGGAAGAAGCTCTTCTAAAACATCTTGTTCGCTGCTGTATGGAAGGGGCTAGTCAAAATCTGAATTTTAGAGTATCCACCTCTCTCTGCTTGGAGAATTTGATGACAAAAGAGGCAGAAGCAAGAATCCTTTTAAAGTCAAATAAAGTGTCCCTCAGGCAGCTTTCTGTGGGACTGAAACACACACTTACAACAAACACCTTTTCTTTTGAGATCTAGAACAGCGGCTCTCAACCTTTCCAGACAACTGTACCCTTTCAGGAGTCTGATTTTGTCTTGCGTACCCCCAAGTTTCATCTCACTGAAAAACAACTTGCTTACAAAACCAGACATACAACTACAAAAGTGCCACAGCACCCTATTACTGAGAAAGTGCTGACTTTCTCATTTTACCATATAATTATAAAATCAATCAGTTGGAATATAAATATTGTACTTACATTTCAGTGTATAGTATATAGAGCAGTATAAACAAATCTTTGTATGAAATTTTAGTTTGTACTGACTTCACTAGTGTTTTTTACATAGCCTGTTGTAAAACTAGACACACATCGAGTGATTTGATGTACCCCCGGGAAGACCTCTGCGTACCCCTGGTTGAGAATCACTGATCTAGAAACACACTGCATGTACCTGTTTCAAAGTTACCTAAAGAATCCAGCTATTATCATCAGCAAGGAAAACGCTCCTGAAGCTGTATCTCTGCAAAGCAATGGAGACATCTGGTGGCCAGACAGAGTAAGCACAGCTGTTATCTATGTCAAGATGCCTTTCGCAATGAACTCCAGCGAACAAAATCCTCCAGATGTTGGAATGAGGGAAATGAGAAGGGACCCATCTTTTTATTAGGTACCCATACATATGGTAAGAGTCAGTTTTGTGGCTCAGTCAGGGCAAAGCACTTCCCAGTCCAACAAGATGTATAACACAGTTGCCAGTTTTGGTTGGACATATTCCTGGAGGTTTCCTTACATGGCATGTTTAATTCCTGGAGACTCCAGGAAAATCCTGGAGGGTTGGCAACCCTAAAAATGAACCAGGCTCCTAAATCCCTCTGATTCTGCCTTTTATCTACTTTAGCATAGCTTGTCACTGCTGAGGCCCTCATCCGTGCCACATGAAAGCAGACGACTTCACTAGGCCGTATACCCTGCACACTGTCTGGACGTTCCAGGCTGTGGGATAACATTGTGCATTGTCATACCACACTCAGTTATGCTGACCCGCAATGTTCTGGCTACACTGATGTGTTGTTAATACAGGAGAAAAGGGACATTCGACTAAACGGAAAAGTGGCAAATTCAAAACTGATGCAAGAAAATACTATTTCACACAGTGCAGCGACAGCGTTAGCCTGTGGAATTCATTGCCACAAGATATTGAGGCCACGTGTGTAACAGGATTCAAAAAAAGATTAGACGTTTGTGTGGATAACAGAAATATCCAGAGTGGTTACAGGAAATATTGTTTTTAAAGAGGCTTGAGAGGGATATAAACTGCCCGCTTCAAAGCACAAGCGAAGCGCACTACTGGGGGGTTAGGAGGGAACTTTCTCTGTGAGGTTATCCCATAACTGGCTGCTGAGAGGTCACTTCTCTGAAGCACTGTTGGAGATGGGACACTGGACTAGGTGGAGCACTGGGCGAATTCAATCTGGCAGTCCCCATGTTGCTGTATACTGTACCCTAGAGAATTCTCCAGGCTGGGAGCCCTTGAGGACTTCGGGGGAGGGTTTGAGCCAGGCCTTCTGCTGACCGATTTTTTTGTAGCAGCATTGAAGAAGCTGTGAACTGAGTCCTCTTTGGCCACAGTTCAGTTCCGGGCCCTGTGCTGGGGTTGGACCTTGCAAACACATCTAAATAGCCCCAGACTATAGAATGATTTGGAGAACTTGGGCGTGTGTCTAGGGGGCAGAGGGAACAGCACCAGTGTTTAGGGCTGATTCCTGCTTTACAGAGTTCTCTCCAGCTGGGGTTTCCTCTCACGTTCTTAAGGCCTCCCATAGGCTTGTAGGAGGAAATGGCTGAAAAAAGTCAATGCTGTGCTCATGTAACTGTGAGTGAGGTGTCTGCCACCCCTGCTGCACCTCTGAACTGTCGTGCATGGCAGCCTCTGAGGCACTCCAGCCCCCTCTGACTGCAAAGCCTTCGGTAGCACAAAGCTATTCGACTTCCAAGCTAGGACGTTTGAGGATCAGAGCTCTCAGCGTACTTCTGCCAGCAGCACGAATCATGACCTCACCATGCTAACCCAAACAGCTTCCCCGGCCTGTAGAAACAGCATCGCTTTACAACCCTGTGCTGGTGCAGCAGACTGGGTATATTTAGTCTATAGACAGCTAGAATATTTGACTTCCTCAAGTTATATTTGTCTAAGTGTCACTGCTAATTGGATTGTAATTCACACTCTTCTCTCTTTGTCCTGCCTGCTCCTTGCCTTTTGAATTCATGACTCAGTGCATGATGGGAAAGGTATTAGGTTTACCGCTAATGAGGACGTTCTTCCTGATAAGGGTATGTTCAAGACTAATGCTGTTACCATAACAACATTAGCCAGCTGCAAACTTCCCTTGCTTTTGGAAACCCGTTCCAGAGACCCACCTCCCTGTAGCTCCCCATAGAACCTACCCCTTGTGGACTGCTTCCACCCTACAGAGAGCAGAGCCGTGGGCTGTGTGACGCAAGGAGGTGGGTCCTGCCATGCAGGCTCTGCTGGAGCTTGAGATTAATTCACAGGAATGTACATTCTGTTCTGACAATACAGGGTTAATAAACAGTCTCTTTGCCAGATGCTACAGGCTGCCCTTATCCTCTGCTATGCACTACCTGTGGCTGTGTGACCACTACTAGATGTGCATGCTCACATGCTGCTGAGGCAGATTCTTCATGGTACATGGTAATGTGTAATGCATACGCAAGGGTAGGGATCAGCTGAAGAGTTTGACTTCGAGAGGGAAGCTAGAAGTCCTGCCACTCGCTTGAATCCTGCTGGGTTTCAGCTCTCCAATTTTTGTATGTTGCCCAAAGCTTTTGTTTTTTAGGTGAAAACGTATCTGTAACATGTTGCACATGTGATTTCAGTGTACAGCCCTCACCCTCACATATCACCAATCTAGCAAGATTTCCATGCCCAAGTTTTAATTCAGTCACCACCACCAAGAAATTAGTAAATGGTGTAGAATGTTTCTGGCCTGTTTGCCATCTACTGATATTCCCAGGGCCTCTGCGTATAAGAGCACTTCAGATAAGAAAGCAGGATCTTCCTATAAAAAGAAACAGAGTGAAGATAGACAAGCCCCAAACCGAATCAGCTTTAAAACTTAATAGGCCAGATTCTGCTCTCACCAGTGTAAATCAGGAAGTGGCTCCGTCAGAGTCTGTTGGGTTACATTGGGGTAAATGAAATGCAGATCAGGCCCAATGTAATTTTGGTAAAACATGATGCATGCTCCCCAAAACAAGGGCCATAACATTGAAAAATGCCAGCTTCATTGCTGGATAGCTTGCCTGCAGCACAACTCTGTCCCTTGGGTTTCTTCCAAAGCAGAGTCATGCATGTCACTCAGTTCTTGTACTCTGAACATCCTCTTGGTTTTTGTGGGCAGGAAGGGCATTGAAATATACAAGGTCCCTCAAGTGCCTGGAGGGCAGGTTTCTTTGTGGTTTTTCTATATATATATATCAATAAAAATGTCAGTAACCTGTCTACTCATCAGAACAATGCTGGAAGAGAGTGAAGGAGCAATGTGATGTGCACATACCAACAAACCAAGGTAGGGTCTAAAATTAGACCCCCCCAACCTTGATTGGGTGTTTACATACTGTTCCTTCCTCTCTGTACTTAATCAGTTTCTACTAGTACACAGTCTGGTGATCGGAAGAAGATACAGCCAAGAAAATCCACTCAGCCTGTTCATATCTTAAACGACTGTTTAGAGCTCCCAGGGCATGATAAATAAATTAGAGCCTTCAGGTGCACTCCCAAAAAGAATCCGTTACAGTTCAAGATACATGAACATATGTCAAGTTGCCTTGATCTGCATGCAATTACTGTCTGTACCACATCATGCACACTTCAGGAAATGGCAGACATTTCTTTACATCCTCCTCTTTTAAAATGACAGTGATTGCTGCCTACAAAATACCCTTCAAGCATTTGAATTCAGTCATACATCAGAGCCGTGTTTCTCAACGCTTTTGTCCTGGGGACCCCCTTTGGACTTAAAAAATTGTAACCCCCTACCTTAAGCTTGGGGGCTTGGGGCTTCAGCCCTGTTTAGGGCTGAAACATGTAAATTAGCTTTGTGGGGCCCCTGGCAAGTTGCCCTGCTTGCAACCCCCCAACATCAGCCCTGCTTGCAACCCCCCATAATCCCTCTTGCAACCCCCCCCCCGGGGGTTGCGACCTCCAGGTTGAGAAACACTGCATTAGAGAATTTAACCAAATGATTTTTTTAGTGCTCTCTTTCAAATTTTGTCCTGAATTTCACTCAAACACAACATAACATGAGAATTGTAAAGCTCATTTGACCTCTCTCTTCCCCTGGCCTGTTCTATTAAAACATGCTACCTTTTCATTTATGAAACTCTTTTTTGAAACTACTCACTGGCTGACTGATAAAGGAAAGTTTCTAAGCAGCTTGTAAACTCTTAACTTTCCTCGTAGTCTTATGTGGTCTGAAGGGACTCTCCTCTTCCTTGGGGATGGAGGCACTGGGAATCGTAGCTTTTATCCAGTGTGCAAGTACAGAACGCTGTTTGGAAGACTGGATGTGTACTTTGGCTCAGAGCAAATTTAGTATCAATACTATGTCCTCATCCCTTGTTTCCGAACCTTCCCCCCTCTGTTTTCACTAGTTCCATTTGCATGGAGGAAAATGGTGCTTGCCCCGGGTCACAGGAATGCCCACATGTGTGCAATATCTTGGTAGGAACTCATTAGCAGATGCTTTCTGTTGGGATCCATTGTAGGTTTTCAAGGCACTTCAAAAACCATGCTGTAATCCTTCCTAGTGTGAAATCTTTGCAGTATAATTACTTTTATAATCTGTTCCCAAAAGTTGTAATGTATGTGGTGTGTATTTGGCCTACAAATGTGGTGTTGGATCGACCTTTGCATTATCAAACTAGAAGGGTCTGCAAGGAAGCTGGTTATGGGCTAACTTACTGCAAATGGGATATTGCCTTGCCGAGCGCATAAGCTGAAGCTGGGTGCCAATAAACTAATCTTTCTTTCGGTGTTTGTCAATCTTTGCATCAGGTTCTGGTGTGGATGATCCAGTGGGTGACGTGTCCATACAGATCGACCTGTATACACACCCAGGAACTGGTGAACACAAGGTCACAGTGAAAGGTATAGTAAAGCAGGAAGCACTGCTGGTGCTAACCTCTGTTCAGCAGGAATGAACTGGTACTGTACTCCTGTGTCCATGCTGTAGGCTGGCATATATCAGTGTATCTGATTTTGTCCAGTCTGTGGGTAGAGTTAACGATTATACTAAATGAAGACCAAAACTGGGCTCCCATCTGGAGTATCTAGAGAAACAGCCGCATGATGGCAGTGGTGTCCCAGCTCACCCAGTCACATGGTGATGCATAGTTCTTTCCTTTTTGAAAGTAATTTTGTGGAACACACTCAAGTCAAATACATGGCTCTCATCAGGCCGGCAAATATCCCACCAAAGTGGTGTGCTCTGCCCAGCAAGGCACAAAATGACAACATTCATTAAGGAACTATTCCATTCACTGAGCCACCCAGAGAGCAGAGTCTGTACACGTTCAGGGATTTTGGGCTTAGTCTTGATGGCCAAATGGGCATGACAGTGATTCAGCTGAGGCTACCTCTTCCTTCTCCCTCTCCACGGCTCCTTCTCAGTTACTTTCTCGCTAGCCTATGTTTGCTGCCTTTAATTAGTTTTCTTTATTTCTTCAAATGTATAAAAGTCTCTCTAAGGCCCCCGTCCCACAGAGTAAAACCCACACTGTAACAGGAGGGGTTGCCTATACATAAATATCCACCATCTCTCCGCACAAAGGCCTGGGGGAAAAGGTGAGTTCTACGGTGCGTCTAGAGAGCCAACACATTTGGCCTCTGGTGGCTGGGTGTGGAGGAAGAGTTCTAAGGCTGAGGACCCGTCACAGAGAAAACCTTGCCAGTAGCTGCAGCTCACGTGCCTCACTGCTAGCCGTAGTATCAGAGCACTTTCTTTTCCCCGAGCGACGATTCAAACTCATCCCACATAGGACTCAGAGTTACACCAAGTAGAGAAGTGACAGTAAGAAGGGAATCGTCTTGTTTATAAAAATCAAGAGACCCAAGTGTGTCTGCTCTCCCCAGCTAAATTCAAGGAGATAGACACTTCAGTGGGAGTCTTGCCCAGGACTGGAATGGCAAAGGGGTGCTGCTGATCAGCATTAAGGTGCATTGTCAGAGCTGTGTGCCTAAAACAGTATGCCTGCCTGCCTGCCTTACCTCTGCCGATTGCAAATATTACCAACCTCTTGCTTTCCTGAGTACGAAATTCCCTCCACAGAACTTTAAATCATGAATAAAAAAGCATGTAATTTGTTCAGTAAAATAATATATCCCAGCCCCATGTGAGTTCAGGACTGATCTCTTTCAGATCAGAGCCTCTGAACTGAACAGCTGGGAAGCCTTTAACCGGAAGAGTTGTTTTGTGTGATTTTTGTGGATAGCTCAGCATTTAAAAGCTGGCTAGAGCTGTTTGAACAGATGAACCTTTCTGCAGAGGAGGGCTCTGATTTTCTCTCTCTTGTCTAGTTGTGGCAGCCAATGACCTGAAATGGCAAACATCCGGCATGTTCCGCCCGTTTGTTGAAGTCACTATGATTGGACCTCATCAAAGTGACAAGAAAAGAAAGTTCACAACCAAATCAAAGAGCAACAACTGGGCACCCAAATACAACGAAACCTTTCACTTGTGAGTACGAAAGACAGGCTGAGGGTCTGCCTCGGGAAGCACATGCAGAGCTCAGATAACGCGCTGCTGCTGAGTGCAATAGAATGACCTGTCCGTGTCAATAGGGTAACCGGAAGCAGCAGGTGTGTCTTAGTCAGGTCCAGTATTCTGGCATGAGGAACCAACTCATCATGAAAGTGCTGAATGGCTGCTGCTGCTGCTGGAACGCTGATTTCAGGGACAGATGTGTACAATTTATGGCTCATGTAAAGAGCATCTGTCAGTTACCTTCAGAAATACGTATTATGTGTATTGCTGCACATCAGCCTGCTTTAGTATGATCCATTATTTTAATGAGTCATCACTTTTGTTGGTAGAGTTGAGGCTGAAACTTCCTCATGTGATAGCAAAAGTCTGCCCATTAGTTTCGATCTTTACTAGCCACATGGGACAAGCAGTCCTCCAAACTTGTTTCCAAGGATACCATCTTCTCCTATGGCTAGAAATGCGCAGTTCTAAACACTGAATATTGAACTTTTCAACTGGCCTTTCATTAATACAAAGGCCTCTGCTCTCTGAAGGCCTTAAAAACGGAGAAGTAGACTAGTCCTCATTCAACTCCGTAGTCAGAATGAGAGGTTAAATATCACTTCCAAAGGATTTTGGAAAAAATGGAGCTTGTCACTTTTTTGCTGCTTTGATTGTAAGGAAGGCTGGAAAAGGGTTTTTCTAAAATGTGGGGAAGAGGATTCTGCTCTTTTTTTTAACCTTAAAAATATGGGGAAGGTTAAATCCCTGGTTTTGCTGGGGTGCTTGTTGAGGGGGAGTCTTTGGGATATCTATTCTTAGCTCTCACCTTCACTGAATAGGGGCCTCCTTTCTCCCAAATGTCAAGTTGCAAGGGTGTCAACAAAAACAATGGTTTAAAAGGGTCTGACTAAAAATCCCTTCTCTTCATAGCTCAAATTTCGCTCTCTTGACTCTTGTGACATCATCATTTTACTAGTTCTCCAGTTATCATAGAATATTCCAGGCTAAACAGGACCTGAATTTCTGATATGATAAACAAGCAAAAAGGTGAAAACTGGAAGTCAGGTTGTCTTAATCCCTCATAAAGAAACAAAGGATGGCCCCTTTTGTTTTCTTCGCAAAGCACCTTTACGATGTTCTGCTTTGATGAAGATTTTCTTTGGAAGTGAAGTTTCTTTGGCAGGCTCAGAGCCCTAAAATGTGCACAGGGTGATGGTACATTCCTGTTGTGACAGCTCTGGGAGTTGTTCCCCATGTAATTGCCATGACTCTGACTAAATAAATGTGACTGGATAACATTTTTAAGAGGATTCCCCTGCTGCAAGGGGATCTAAGGAGACAGTATGCTTTCTGCTTTAATCTGAGTAACTTGTGCCTGTCATTTTCAGCATATTGGGGAATGAAGACGGCCCAGATGCCTATGAGCTCCAAGTATGTGTGAAGGATTACTGCTTTGCTCGGGAAGATCGAGTCCTGGGGATAGCTGTGATGCAGCTCAGAGATATAGCGGACAAAGGAAGCTGTGCTTGCTGGTGCCCACTAGGGCGTAGGATTCACATGGACGAGACGGGGCTCACGGTCCTGAGGATTCTTTCTCAACGAACCAATGACGAAGTGGCCAGAGAGTTTGTAAAGTTGAAATCGGAGTCCCGCTCCACGGAAGAAGGCACCTGAGCTGAGCTCTGAACATTCCCCCTCTCGTTTTCCTTGTGCCAATATGTGCAAGTGTTCAACCATTTTCTTTTACTAATTACAAAAGGTTTTTCAGTTAGTCGGTGTTAGCTACAATAGCAAACGTGCCGTACCGGAAACAAATCCACCAATCGGATGTGAATTATTTATTGTTTAGTGTCTGGGTAAGGCATCCTAGAGAATGAGACACACACTTTTATTTAAGATACAAATTGTGCTTTGTACAAAATGGTTTTCTCTCTGGTCTGGGCATACTGGGTGGTGTGGAGATGGAGCACTGTGATTCAATCCTCTGGAATTGGCAGACATGAAATGTCTTCAGAATCAAACATGAAACAAACCACTCAGACATGTTGGGAGGAGAACAATACTTTTGGCTGTTGGAAAAGCACAGTTGTTCCCCTTACTGTAGAGCTGCCAAAGGATGTTCTTGTGTCGATAATGCCAGTACATGCCAACATGGCACGCGGGCACCTCAGCATCAACTTAAAAAATGCTGCATGGTTTTTAGACTATGCAGCTAGAATGAAGTATGACCAAGATGGTGCTGTCATGAGCGGAGTCAGGACAAGCAAGCCAAAAGCCCAGGTGCCCCAAGCCTTCGCCCAATTGAGAGCTGCAAAGACAGCTAACCAAGAGTAGACCACAGCTGAGCACACTGTCACTAGTTGGTGCAGCCATATTGCTGTGAAATGAAGGCTGTTGCAGGCTGCTAGATTCCACGAGCCATACTCTGGGCACCTCTGACCCATGGAACAAGCACTATGGTGATGACAAATTAAATGGCTGCTGTATGTTGTTTTTAACTTCAGCGCTGTGCTATCACTAGGTTTTTGACATGTAGCAAACACAGAGGGTTTGGGTTTGAGTTGGTGGTTCAATATTTACAAGATTTCAATGGCATTTGTTTCCATGGAGTAGCTGAGGATTCCTTGCTCTGTACCCTGATGCAATGGCCTGTCTGGGGCAGACACAGCATGTGCTCATCAGAAAGAACTCTGTCCATTCACACAGGTTGGGGAGGGAGAGGGACTCTTCTCTCTTGATCACAAGGTTGCAGTTGGCCGTGCAGAGGATGGTTTGCATAAGTATGACTGTCGGTCATTCTGTGAATTCATGTCACCCTGGGAAATATTTTTGCACTAGATAAAAGGAGTGTCCAATTTGTTTCTTGTAAAATGAGAAGTCTTGAGCAAAGATGATTACGGGGACATCAGGATTGGCTTTTAACATATTTCTTAGGTTGGGAGACAAAGATTAGGATTTGTACTTGAGACTTCTTTTCCTTCCTGTTTGCAGCCAAGTGAGCACTGTCACACTCTGAAAATGGAAGGTGGAACAAGCCAGTCCTGGCACATAATGTACTGTAACACTGTCAATAACTGTCAAGGACTACATATTGGGTGATTCCTTTTGTATTTTATTTTCTATTTTTCTCTGACATTTGTACAGCTGTATGATATGAATCTTGTACTTCACAGGCCGGCTTGTAGAGATCTCAGAGACTGCATACCTGCTTTGTTATTGTCTATAGATGTATTATAATAATGATCTCCAAAACTCCAAGCGATTGTTATGATTTTTAATCATTGTCTGTGCCATTGTTTTAGGAAATGATGATAGTACAGTCTTTAATAAATTATCTTTTAGCAGCGGTCACTTCTGTGCTTTTGCATATGACTCCGCCTGTTCAAAACTCATTCAGTCTCTTTGGTGCTGCAAGTTCTCAACAAGGATATAAACTGTAATTGGTAAACCCCAAGCAAGATGGAGAGATGCTCTTCCCCTCAGGACTGAAGGGGATAGAAGAGGCTGTATGAGCTTTTCCTCTGTTTATGATGTTTGAAACACAATTCAGTTGAGTGCTCCATGTTGTTTTACTTACGTTCTACATTGTGGGTGTCCTCACAGAGACCACTTACCTGATCTGTATCCCCCAGCTGCTTTACTTGATTGTCTGTTCTCTGGAACCTCAAAGGACCAGAAGAGCGTAGCTACTAACTGTATCAGACGATGGGATCTGGCCTGTTGGAGGTGAATTTTCCCAGCTATCTATGGCTGTATGCGCCCTATTGTCAAGCTGTGATGTGCATTCATTTGTTTTCTATCTGTTTTCCCTCTTGAGTAATGGCTGCACACACCCTGTAGAGAGCCAACTATTCAAAATAAAAACGGAGGAAAAAGCTGCCTCCTGGGGTCTGATAGGCAACCTCAGTGGAATCACCTTATCCACTTCCAGATTTACCGGAACAAAGCCCAGGAGATGAAAGTCAGCACTCATCACTGTGCTGAGAGAAGGGAGAAGTATTCAAGTGATTTGCAAACTCATCTTCAGTTACTCTGTGCAACTAATCACATCACTCCGTGTCACTCTAGTGTTGCTTCACAGTCTGACTTCTCTTCTCCAGACTAAACAAACCTAATTTTTTCAATCTTCCCTCATAGGTCATGTTTTCTAGACCTTTCATCATTTTTGTTTCTCTTCTTTGGACTTTCTCCAATTTGTCCACATCTTTCCTGAAATGTGGCGCCCAGAACTGGACACAATACTCCAGTTGATGCCTAATTAGTGCGGAGTAGAGCGGAAGAATTATTTCTCATGACTTGCTTACTACACTCCTGCTAAAATATCCCAGAATGTTTCCTTTTTTTGCAACAGCGTTACACTGTTGACTCATTTTTAACTTGTGATCCACTATGACCCCCAGACCGCTTTCCGCCGTACTCCTTCTTAGGCAGTCGTTTCCTATTTTGTATGTGTGCAACTGATTGTTCCTTCCTCAGTGGAGTACTTTGCATTTGTCCTTATTGAATTTCATCCTGTTTACTTCAGACAATTTTTCTGTTTGTCCAGATCATTTTGAATTTTAATCCTGTCCTCCAAAGCATTTGCAACCCCTCCCAGCGTGGTATCGTCCGCAAACTTAATAAGTGTACTCTCTATGCCATTATCTAAATCACTGATGAAGATATTGAACAGACCCAGACCCAGAACAGATCCCTGCGGGACCCCACTCGATATGCCTTTCCAGCTTGACTGTCCACACCTTTGTGTGGATGGGAGTTGGGTTAGGAACAACAGTCCAATTATACTTTGGGCCAAACACTGCAGTGAAGACATGTCCACGTAGCACTTTTCATCTGTAAATCTCAAAGCATTTTACAAAAGAGGTCTGTATCATTACTCCCATTTTACAGATGGGGGAAACTGAGGCACAAAAAGAAGTGACTTGCCAAAGGTCACCCAGCAGGCCATTGGCAGAGCCAAAAATAGAACCCAGGTCTCCCGAGTCTCAATATCATGTTCTGTCCACAAACCCACACTGCAAACCAGGTTTGTGATGAGCCTTAAAATCATGTGAACAATTGGCACAACGGTTGCTTTATAATACATTTGTATAGACAGTCTGTCCATTTTCTTGTTTTGTTTCTTGGCTTTCTGCTACGTCTGGAACACTTCCCAATGTCTGGTGTTTTCCTTTTGCCAGAGAAACCTAGGGACTTTGGCTGAGCTAGAAACTTTATATTCTTGTCCCATAGCTGTGGACTTGAAGCCTCTGACAGCTGTAGTTAAGCCAATGCTCTTGGAGATTTTCATGTGTGTCTGATATTTTTACTGAAGAGAGAATGTATCAGAATGGATGTGAAGAGCTAACTGGATTTGCCAGTTCTCTTAGTACCGGTGAAAGCGGCTGCCATGTCTACCCAACCTAGGAATTATACCTCCCAGCTGCAGTGTAGACATACCCTGCATGTCTGAGTCAAGAGAAATTGTCATAACGATGGGCGTGTTTTGAGTAAAGAAGGGTTACTTGCCTCACAAAAGGATCAGATATTTGTGTTTCACGCTCCCTTAATGAGTAGAGGAATAGCATATTAGGGTTTTTTTATTTTTTTTTTTTTTTGCCTTTTCTCCACCTTTTCCTTCCTTTGCTTTGTTCCTTGACTTCCCATTCTCTGGAATTGTTCTAATTCTCCTGTGGCCAGACTCAGGGCTGGTTTACACCTAAAAGTTAGATTGGCCTAGCTACATCACTCAGGGCTGTGAAAAATGTCGTGCCTTGTGCGACGTCGTTACATCAACCTAACCCCCAACCCCTGTAGATGCAGCTAGAAGAATTCACTACAGCGACTGAAAAACTCCTGTAGCACTTGTAGTGTAGACATATGCTCAGCGAGGAGGTTGTCCCTCTAGTCAGGACTGAAGGTACATTGGCAGAGCAGTGCGCAAGAAGCTTACACAGTTACTCTGCCACTGTCCTGTGGATAAATACTTGGTGCTTCTGCAGACTGTTGGTTCAATGAGCTCAGGGCACTTTACAGCTATTAATAAAGCCTGATGTTATCGCTGTGGGGTAGGTGTATGCCATCCCTATTTGACAGAGAGGGGAAGTGACTTCACCAATGTTCCACCTCCAGTGTGAGGCGGTGCTGGGAACAGAACCCACATCCCTAAGCCAAGCTTCCTGTCATCAGAGAACTTCAGTTGTCAGAGTGGTCAACTCAGTTCATCACAGCAGATCTAAATTCACAGATCAAAGCCACCACAATTCTCCCCATGTTTTGTGCTTTGCTACTGGTAGTTTATTTAAAACAGCCTCCACCAGGGAAGGTAAAGAGAGAAGAATCATTTACAGACTCCCTAGGTAAGGGTTATAAACAAACACAAAAGACAGGAAGGAAAATTGGACTGGGTTAAAAAAATACTGAATGGAGCAACTCACAGGAAATGCCCAACTAAAACTGGATTGGGCCATACATTAACTGTGTCCCTAATTAAAACCGCACATAGGGTTTCTTTTACCATCAGTCTCTGTCTTCAAGAACTGAAGGAGCTGCTGCAGTCAGAGCCACAGCCTGGCCTGCTAGTCACAGAAGTTGGTCGAGGAAGAAATATTACCTCAGCACCTTGTCTGTCCGCTCCTTGAGAGCAGCAGTTCAGCTGTTAGGATGAGTACTCCGACCATTAATCTACTCACTTGATGAGTTAGCAATGTTGCTTCCACTCCAGCCAGTCTCCCCTAAACTGACACTCCCTTGTCGGAAAGGTTCTAGAATCTGATTCCTATTTGTTTCCTTGGCAACTTTTATATGTTCACACACAACATCCTAGGCTGTCTGGCCATTACATCTGGTAATGTTCCCAGGGCTCATTAGAGCAGTTGTGCAGGGAGTCTGGGGCTCATACCGGGAGAGAGCTTCTGTCTTGCAGCTCCAATTTTGACATAGCTGGAGAGAAAGATTTGACTTATTTTTTTTAAGGTGGCTTGTGTACTTGATCAACAGACAGAGAAAGGGGCTTAGTACTGTGCTACGCACATCCAGAAGCTGCTGAACTGTGGCTCACCATCCACTGTCTCATGTACTTTGTATAGGACAGCTCCCATTTATTATCTGTGATGTCCGTGCATGCACCTGTCTGCCTAGCAGGCCAATGGAAGGGCACTCTGGAATGGTGCAGCCATCACAGAGCAAGGGCCGGTTTACATGCCTGAGGAGTGTTCAGAATGTCTCCTCTCTTTCCTAGAGAGCATCTTTAGCAGAGCCCCCTTCTCTTTTCTATTTGTATCTTGTACGACGAGGAAAATAAGTCTCTGCCCACCTGCAACCTTCAGAAACCTCAGGTCTAAAGCAATTGGACCTGTTTTTTCTAGCTCCCAGCCTTGATCCTTCATATATAAGGGGGGGAGGGGGATTTGAGTTCTGTTCCGGTGGCTACACAGCTGTTGCTGAAAAGCCAATTCTGATTTCAGCCAGTACTAAAAGTGGTCACGAGAATGGCCATACTGGGTCAGACCATCAGTCCACCTAGCCCACTATTCTGTCTTCAACATGCCAGATGCTACAGAGGGAATGAATAGAATGGGGGAATTACTGAGTGATCCATCCCCTGTCGTCCAGTCCCAGCTCCTAGCAGTCAGAGGTTCAGGAACACCCAGAGCATGGCGTTGTGTTCCTGACCATCTTGGCTAATAGCCATTGATGGACCTACCTTCTAGGATAGAACTTATCGAATTCTTTTTTTTCAACCCAGTTATACTTTTGGCCTTCACAACTTCCCTTGGCAACAAGTTCCACAAGTTGCCTGAGTGTGGTGGGAAGAAGTATTTCCTTATGTTTGTTTTAAACTTACTGCCTGTTAATTTCATTGGGTGATCCTGGTTCTTGTTTCCTGTGAAGGGGTAAACAACACTTCCCTATTCATTTTCTCCACAGCAGTCATGATTTTATAGAACTCTTATCATATCCCCGCTCAGTCATCTCCTTTTCCATGCTGAACAGTCCCAGTCTTTAAATTTCTCCTTGTAGGGAAGCTGTTCATACCCCTAATCATTTTTATTGGCCATCTCTGTACCTTTTCCAATCCTAATATATGTTTTTTGAGATGGGGGTTACCAGATCTCCATGCAGTATTCAAGGTTGTGGGCATACCATGGATTGATAGTGTCATTATGATATTTTCTCTATTTCTCTTTCTGAATGGTTCCTAACATTGTTGGCTTTTTTGACTGCTGCTGCATATTGAGCAGATGTTTTCTGAGAACTATTTTATACTAGTTTATACTTCTCCTTTGTGTAGCCATTTGTCAACCTCCCGAGTCCTTATTTGGCATTTCATATTCCCGTGCATGGTGTCAAACCTAG